GTTGGATTAGATGTATAGTGATTAGCCAGACTGACAACAAACCTAATGTCGAGCCTGGTGTGAGTTAGGTAGATTAGCTTCCCAATTAGTCTTTGATATCTATCTTTTTCAGCTGGTGAACTTTTCTCTTTACCTCTCTTTTCCGGATCTATGGGAGTATTGACTGCCCTGTACCTAAACATGCCAGTTTTTTGAAGTAAGTCCAGTGTATATTTCCTTTGTGATACATAAATACCATCCTTCGATCGAGCAACTTCCATTCCTAGAAAGTATTTGAGTTGGCTCAAGTCCTTAACTTCAAATTCCTTGGCTAAAAGTCCCTTCAAATACTTGATTTGATCATAATCGTCTCCTGTGATAACGATATCATCAACATAAACAATGAACAAGGCTACCTTCCTTTCTGCGGAGTGTTTGACAAACATCGTGTGATTTGATTGACATTGGTTGAATCTATCTTCTTTGACAATCGGAGTCAATCTATCAAACCATGATCTTGGAGATTGCTTAAGGCCATATAAAGATTTTTGGAGCCTACACACCATGTTTGAGGTTTTTAATGATTCAAGTCTCGGAGGAATTTGCATATAGACTTCTTCTTCTAGTTCACCGTTTATGAAGACATTCTTGATGTCTAGTTGATAAAGTGGTCAATATAATTTTGCAGCTAAAGAGAGTATAACTTGGATTGAATTGAGTTTGACTACCAATGCAAAAGTTTCTTCGTAGTCCACTCCATATGATTGGGTAAACCCTTTTGCCACCACTTGGAATTTGTATCAATTTATACTACCATCTGCATTGTATTTGATAGAGAATATCCACTTGCATCCAATATATTTTTTCCCTTTTGGTAAGGTGGTGATTTCCCATGTGCCATTTTTAACCAAGGTCTGGACTTCTTTTGTTACAACTGCTGCTCATTTAGGTTGTTGGATTGCCTTTTGAACATTTCTTGGGATATGTATGCTGTCAAGAACTGTCACAAATGACTTATACCCCTGTGACAATTTTTCATAGGACACATCTCAATGGGGTGTTGAATGCAAGATCTTACCCCTTTTCTTAATACAATAAGAATGTCAATGTTATCAATAAGTTTATGATTAGAAGCCATATTACCTAGGGAAAACTCATTTTCTGGAGTTTGGTTTGATTCATGAATTTACCTTAGAGTTGTGCTAGACTCTACTTCCTTTCTTTCAGTCTCGGCTAGCTCTGCATTTGCTACTGTAGTTTCCTCTACAGTAGGTGCAGTCTTGGCTGGTTCTGCATTTGGGGCAGAGTGAGCTAGCTTAAATCCCAAAAGTTGAGATTCTGCCACTTTAATTGGATAGATCTGCTCCCCATGAATGCCAACTTTAGGGTAATAAGGTAATTCTCAAAAAAAGAGGCATTCATGGTGTGGTAAAATTTCATGGTTTGAGGTGAATAACATTTATACCCCTTTTATTAGGGAGAATAGCTGAGGAAAATACATTTTATGGATTTTGGGTCAAGTTTGTTGCAACGAGGATGGAGGTTATGAATAAAGACTAAACATCCAAATATTTTCAAGGGAATGGATGTAAGGATACGACTAGTAGGGTATGAGGTTTGGAGAATAGAGTGAGGTGTGTTAAAGTTGAGAATTCGGGAAGACATTTTGTTTATGAGGTAGGTTGTAAAGAGGATAGTTTCTCCCTAAAATTGGTTGGGTACATTTGTAGCCAACATGAGAGATCTGGTCACTTTTAAGAGATGTCTATTCTTTCTCTCGACAACCTCATTTGCTGAGGGATATCTACACATGAACTCTGATGTATGATTCCATATCTCTAAAAGTAGGAACTTAGTGCAGAGTGTTAATACTCTCGGCTATTATCACTCCTAAGTACCTTAATCCTAATTTAAAATTGCGTTTACACCATAGTATGAAAAAATTCAAATATTCTACCAACTTCTGATTTCTCCTTCATTAGGAACACCCAAGTGACCCGTGTGTGATTGTCTATGAAGGTGGCAAACCATCTTGATCCCGTGACATTGTTTACCCGTGATGGTCCCTATAATCGCTGTGAATTAGGGAGAAATGTTGAGAGGATTTATAGGTTTAAGGTGGGTATGAGCTGCTAGTATGTTTGGACAATTAACATATTTCACATTGAAACAACTCCTAATATATATTGAATAATGTGAGAAATATTCTTCTTAAGTACATAAAATTTGGGTGGCCAAGTCGATAGTGCCACAATATTACAGGATTTTTATTTTTAGGTACCACATCAGAAGAGTTGACCTTGGGTTCTGCCTCTGATGCTTCAGTTTGGAGGCAGTAGATTCCAACATATTCTTTAGCAATGTCAATCGTCTCCCTCGTCTCCAAAATCTGAAATTCACATAGGTTAGGGAAGAATTTAGTGACACACTTCAAATCTTTTGTCAGTTTGCTAATGGACAGTAAATTACAGTCAAATTTGGGCACATAAAGGACTGACTTCAGGTTAATATTTTGAAAAAAAAAAAAAACTGAACATTTACCCATGACTTTAGAAAGAGTCCCATCAGCTATCTGAATTGGGTAATTATTGTGGCAAGGAGTATAACTTTTAAACACAACTAAGTCTCTAGTCATGTGGCCTAAGGCTCCTGAATCAATAATTTATGACTTTGATTTTCCTGTGCTAATATTTAGAGCATGCAAGATATTACCCTTTTGTGCTACTTCAGTTGTACCCATGGTTATCAAACTCGCGAGTTAACTCGCTGACTCATACAAGTTAACTCGTGAGTAAACTCATTTTAGAGTAGACTCGAAGTCAAACTCGGTAAACTCGGTGGACTCTGAGTAAAGTCGCGAGTTAGAGGCGAGTCACCGAGTTTGAAGAAAAAGAAAAACTTGGATATTCTCGGACTCTCCTCATATCTTCTCACAAGTTCAGATCTCGCTCCTTACCACTGTTCATCGCTGCTTATCATCGTTGGTGGTGGTCGTCGCGTGCTTGTCCTTAGTCGCACAGTGGTCACACGATGTTCACTTGGGTCATGCAGTGATTGCGCGATGGTCGCACGGTGGCCGCGCTCCTTGCAGTTGCTCACCGCTGCTCAGCGCCCTCTAGGTTAGATTGAGGAATTGAGGGATTTTGGATTTTAGGATTTTCGAATTGATGGGGCAGGTTAGATCGAGAGATTAAAAGATTTGGGATTTTAGGGTTTCGAATAGATTGAGAGATTTTAAACATTCAAGATTTTTTTTTTAATTTTGATTATACTATTGTACAAATTTAATTAATTTTTTTATTATTTTAATAATGAGGAATTAATATTATTATATTTATTATTAAATTAGTATTTTTCATATGAAGTAAACCTTTATGAGTCTACAAGTCAAGTTTATCGATCTCTCACGAGTTTACTTAGACTCTCGAGTATGATAACCTTGGTTGTACCAATTGTTTGTTGAAAAATTTTCTGTAGTGCTTCCATTTGCTCTTTACTGAATGTAGATGTTGTGCTTCCATTTGCTCCTTACTGAATGGAGATGGATTAAAATTTACCTATGTTGTCCAGGTTTTTGTCTATTTTTCTTGTGAACGCTTGCCATAAATAATCCAGCAGGTGTCCTTAGTGGGTCCTAATTTCTTGTAGTAATCGCACCAGAACCTATTTTTCTTTTTAGATGGATGAGATTGGTTTCCCCTTGCTGTCATTGTTGTGCCTTCAATGGGTGGGGCTGCACTTGACTTTTCAAAACTTTCCTCCTGTTTTCCTCCCTTCTCACTTCCGAATATACTTCCCGGATTGTTTTAAGAGGTTTGGTTCCAAGGATTCTCCCTCGGACTTCATCAAGTTCTGTGTTCAGCCCCAATATGAACTTGTAGATCCTATCTTTTTCCACCAATTCTTTATATTTTTTCTTATCTTCGACACAACTCCATTGAACGTCTTCATATATGTCTAGTTGTTGTCAATGTCGGCTAAGTGTATTAAAATACTCTGTGACTAAGAAATCACCTTGTTACAGTTTACGGAGTATGCTCTTGATCTCAAATATCGCAGATGTATTGTCCATATTTGAGTAGGTTTCCTTCATTGTATTCCACATCTCCTTGGCAGTGTCACAGTACATGAAATTCTTCCCAATTTCATTAGTCATGGTATTGAGTAATCATGACATGACTAAACTGTTTTCTAGTTGCCTTTTGTTAAGGTTAGGGTCACCCTCTACTGGACACTTGGAATTTCTAGTAATATATCATTTCTTCCTTTTTCCTTAAAGGAAGATTTTAACTAAACGCATCCATTGAGGGTAATTTTGGTCATTCAATTTATGACCAATAATAGGAAGAGCAGGTCCTTCGACCAAACTGGTAGCCGAACCTCCTGCTTTGTTCTCTTCCATGATTAGTTGTGCTAGATTAGGGATGATCCAGATCGAACTCTAATACCATGCGAAAAATATGTTGGATATTTCTTATTTTGGAAAAGATACAAAAGAAGTGTAAATAAAATACAAGGTAATAAACTTATACATTAATTTATCCTCTCTTCTTATAAATTTTGTAGATAACTGTGCATAAATAATGAAATAAAACTGATTATATTATTATTAAATTTTATTATAATTGAATTATTCTAATTGATATTATGATCTCTAATAAAAAATATTATTTTTTTTATAAATAACATCTGAATATAGTTATTAAAAATAATAAGATAAATATCTATATTTAATTGATCACGATATGTTATATTAGATAATATTAAATATATTGGATAATTACATCTATCCTAGTTACTGGGGTTCGGGTAAATACCCTAAATACTTATTTAGTATTATTTTGGGTTGTGCTTTGGGTTCTCCAACCAATACGAATTTATTGGAAAAGAGTGATATGACCAATGATGAATGAAGATTAAGCAGAGAATGGTTTGTACATATTTAGGCAATGGAATATGATAGAGTGAAACAGTGAAGCACGTTAAGGTGTTTGTCCTATGATATCTAGGGCATAATAAAAATGGCAGACAAGGTCGCGCGTGTGAACATGTGACAAAGGTAGTGGATTGGTCTTTCTAATTCGCATGAATTGTGGAGCATCACCAAATCCAACCTTTGAATTCACATCACAGAGCAATACCTACCAGCAAAATTCATCTGAACCCAAATTACACATTTTCATCATTTCTGTATTTCGAATAAATTATTTATTATTGGAAAATATCCCTAACACCAAATTAAAAAATCATCTAAAATTACATTTTTGGCAATAAATAAAATATGTTTATTTTAAAATTTTAATATATTATAGACATAACCCGACTTTCAATTTTAGACTTAATTTTGGATGAGAGATTTTCATTTAGCCTGATCCGCAAAATATGTGGATTAATCGAATTTGTCTATACCTACCTCAAATAAATTATATAAAAGTATTCTTCAAAAATTAAATTTATTTAATATATTTTGAATCTCCAATTTATTTGTTGTTTAGGATGCGTGATATTGTAAACGAGGGAATATATATATATATATATATATATATATATATATATATATATATATATATATATATATATATATATATTCATATAAACAAAATTGGAAAAACCATGTTTTGTGACGTAATTTAATATTTAATACACTTTTATTTATATTTAAATCAAATAAATGTGTGAAATGCCTACCTTTAAATAATATAATCTTAAATATATGTTTATCATGCACAAAAATATAAAAAGGTAAATGATACATTTATTTGATTAGATGAAAGAAACAATGTGTCGATACAGATTCATTATAGCCTTTTTCTTTTTGTTACTAAAATGTGAAAAAAAAATGTATGACATAATTTATCGTATTATATTTTTAAGACGTTAAAAGCAAGTTTTATATCGGGTCAAATTCAGTTAAACTTATTATTCGATCTAATAAAAAAATAGAATTTAATCAAAATTTTGTATTTTTTATTATCAAATCTAATTAGGTCAATTAAGTCACGTAATCTTAAAAACGTTTTTCTATTAAATTTAAAATTATAATTTTTAAAAATTATAACGGTCGTATATCAAAATTAGGATGAACTGAGTTTAATCCAATACAAATATATATTCTTATGATTTGGATTTGATTACTTTTTTTTATGCTAAATAGCGTGAATTGTATTATAAATCTTGACAAAGTTGGTGATCTTTCTTTACTATTCTAAGGGAATTTTTGTTAACTTAATAACTTAGTGTTTTTCCTTGACTATAACAAGTATTTCGTAAACTACTTTCAAATCTAAATAAAAACATGTTAAATAAATTTCATTGCTTAATAATCTATTTTTGTTTTGAATATCTAATAAATTATTTCTTCAAACAGCATGCTTAATAAATTGTAAAAAGTTAACTTAAGTTTGAAAAAAATATTTATTAATATTTTGTCCCTGTTATTATATTGACTATTTAAAATGATATTTAAATTATTTTTAGATTTATCTTTTTGTCTCTCAATTTAATTTTTATCGTAACAACTCGTTATACAGCATGTATTGACTCCGTTCAAATAACATAAAAGACTTCATATATGTTATTTCTCAACCCTATAAATAATATTACATGTGTTTCAACTTAACACATGGATAATATAATTCATAAAAGTAAAATTTAAAGACTTGTTAACCCTAAATTTTTAATCTATCAGTTATTCAATTTGAAAAAATAAATTATTAGATACTCAAAAATAAAAATCAGTAATATATTAATAACCTAAAACTTAATTTTTTTAAATCACTGTTCATGTTCAAAATGGTATATATATATATATATATATATATATATATATATATATATATATATATATATATATCCTAAATGTAAAAATAAAACATGATAAATATCAATTGCTTCATAAAATACGAAAGTCATTGAACAAAATAATTATAAATAAGATGCACATACAAATTTCATACATAATTAAAATTTACAGACCAAATTTAAAATCTGACTAGATGCATTAATATCTTCATTATATTATATTTTAGACTGTGAGTTATAAATCAATCTAAATAACTTTTTGATTTTAAATTAAAATTTTATATCTTATAAAGTCTAAATTTCTACTTAATCTCAACTATTATAATACAATTAATCTAAATTATATATCTGTTATCTCAATTCTTAAAATATATATAACTGATATATTAAACAACTTTTATACACATTTCACTATAAATTCTTAATGAAATTTATAACTTTTCTTAGCATATTGTAGTGATAAATTAATGTAATATATATTCTGTAATTGATTAAAATTAATTATATTTTTTAAATCTCACTTTTTATTTGACAACATAACTGTGTTCTATATATGTGGACAGTGTTTTTCTTGAACTTGAAGTTAATTTATAGCCAATAAATGAATCAGAATTATTTATTGAAGTTAAATCACAGCCAATAACATAATTATTAAATTTGTGAGAGAAGTTAAAGAGCACAGCAGGGCAGTGCCCACCAACCGTATCATCTCCGATCAAAATCTTCCCTCAACTTGTCCCACTTCCCAACTTCTTGTCGAATAAAATATTCATAAATAAATAAATAAATAAATTGTTAAATTAATATAATATAATAATTTCTTCATTTTAAAAAGATACATTTATATTAATATGTTAAATATCTTTTAAAAATAAAAATAAAAAAAGGAATTGATGATAATAAAATGAAACAATGAAAATAATAAAAATTAAAATTAAATTAGATTATAATTATATTGATAATGAAAATTAAATAGAAACAGAATTTAAATAACTAAAATTTATAAAATTAAAATAGAATGTTTTTAAATAAATTTTAAAATTAACAAAATAAAGTGTAAATAAAAAATTATTTTAAAATAAAAGTGAAGTAATTAAATTTAATTTTTTTAAAAATGATAAACTTAAAATTAAATTGAGAATTATGTACGAAACTAAATAATAAAATAAAACCGAACCATAAAAAAATGGGATCAAAATTAAAATTTATGCATAAATGAGTGAAATTACAGGAAAGTAATAAAGTTGTAATTTGAATGAAAAAAAAATAAGTAATACTGAAATAAAACAATAACTTTAAACAATTAAATAACAAAAATTAAAAAATTTAATAAAAATTGTAAATTAAATAAAAGAAAATAAATCAGAAATATAAGTAGATAATATCGCATAACTAAAAATTAAGAACAAAAAAGAAAACGGGAGAGAAAACAACATGCTAGCCTTTGAGTAAGAGATTATAATTGTATTCTCGTCATATATCTGTTTACACGAAATTAATCAAGATAAAATAAGTCTAGAATTAATTACAATAAAATAAATTATTTTTTAAATTAAAAATTACAACACTAGATTGTGCAAGTGAGAGATTTCTGGAATTGATTTAGAAAAAATAATTTACTTTTTTCTTATTTTGAGTTATCCAGTACTGATTTACATTAATTCTTGATTTTTGCTGGGCTTTAGTTAAGCTAAATTAGATTCATACAAAAGTTAATTTATTTTATTTGAAATTTTTATTTGTAATATTTCGCAAATGAACTGCACAAATAAACTTGGATTTTCAATAAGAATGAAACTTAACTACATCAATTTAAGTCTTTATTTTTATCAATTTGACTTATATCAAATTATATTTCTCTTAAGAAAAAGAAATATGTATTGTGGATGTATTTTTTATATTAAAATTATGTAAAATGTAGTAAATTAAAGAGAAATTAAGTTATATTTTTAATGAAAATATAATTTTTTTAAATAATTAACTTAACAAATATTAACTTAAAAAATGTTTTAAAATAAAAAATAAAGAGTAAAATAGTATATATCAAATATAATTAGGAGTTAATGAAGATTTAGGAAAGAAGTGGAAGATAAATTGAAGCCGCGTACTTTGTAGTACTAGACTAGGCAAGTGTAATGAATGTAAGATGTGTTTGATGATGAATATGTTCCCGGTTTTTCGTGGACATTACTGCTAAATTGGAAAGCAACGTATGAGAAAACAAAAGGACATTATAGTACTACCTCAGCAGTTTCTTTCCTTTGTAATGCTAAGAAAAAGAAACATCGTTTTCGAACCGTCACCTTCTTCAGACTCCTTGGTGGAGAAGAAAACTTAGAAACCGTGGAGACATTCTCATGACAAAGTTGGATTATTTGAACATTAACAGTAAAAAAATCCGAATCCACCGCCATAGTAGCCGCAAATCCAGACCATGTTCAAAGTCTGGACTAGAGGAATAAAGCCAAGAGAGCTGCTACTCATAAAAGCACTCTTTGTTTTCTTGTCCCCTCACATTTTTGCCTTCTCAAAAAATTGAAAAATAGAATGATTACTATTAAATCAACAGATCAATGGCTAAAATAAACAAACAGGTAATGATTGAATTTCCCGTTAACAAATTAACTTTACTTGAAAAGAAGAGTTTATTCTCATGTTGTATGACCAGTTAAATGATAAGTCACATATTTAATAAAAGAGGTAAATAATTTGAAAAAAAGAATTAATTATATAATAATAAACTTTAAAACTAATTAGGGTAAACTAAAATTAAAAATACAGTTTAGAAAAACATGTAAATAATTTAAAATAATAATTAATATTCAAATGTCTATTCTATCACATTCAAAAATAAATTTTCTTTATAAAATATGTATTCTCACTTTTTAATTTCTCCTCTTTTAAACCCTTTAATATTAAAAAAAAAAATGATGCTGTTTTTCATCTTATTCCCTTTCTTATAATAATCAAAGAAAATATATATTTCTTTATCCTTTCATTAATTTTTTTTTCATGTAACAACATTCTTATTACTTAACTAGAAAATATTTCTAAATAGATATTTATATTAAATCTAAACATTTTAAATATATATATTATCCTTTGTATAAGTTTTATATTTAGATCTTAGAAGAAATTTAAATTATTCTCTTTTAAAAATATCTTTAAAGAGAATTGTTACCAAGAATTATTTAAAAATAAAAATTAATATATTATTATAAATTTTACATTTGAATTATTTAAATTAAATATAATTGTTTAAAATTAAAAAAGAATTACTTAAATAAGTAATTTTAATAAAATTTTAAACCATTCAATTGTAAGATTTATAATAAATATTTATTTTTATTTATTTTTAAGCAACTTTGATTAAAAATGCTTTAAATACTGTACTTTAATCATCTACTCTGAGATATATATAACATTATACTCGCCACTAAAGTAAAGTAAAATATGATTATCACAATTAGAATAACATAAAAGAACATTCAATAAGTTATCATTTAAAATAATTATATCATGACATTCACAACTCAATCATTTCAACCACACATATTATATCCAACATTTCTACAATAATTATCGCATCATCATTAACATAGCCCACTAGCTACACTACATAACATCTCTCACTTACATGACACACAAAAACACCTGCGAATTCCAGAAAGATCACGCGTTTAATTAGAATCAAATATTTGTATTCGTCGAATTATTACTCCTTAATTCACACACAACTAACGCAAAGGAGTATCATAATCATGGTAAATTCCTAAAAGTTCATTTGGCACAAATATGAAATAATGGAAATCTTCTTTAATTCTTACTAATTTAAATAAGCATATTATTAGAGTAAGAATATCTCGTAATAAATCTCCAAATCAATGTACACACAACTCGTACTCATATAATAATATTTCATTAATAATTACTATAGTATATCATACATATAAACCACATAACACCATACTCCTCACATCACATCATTTCTCAATATATTTGTGTATGTTATTCTATTATTTGTTTATTTATTTATTTAAGAGTAATTTTTAAATTAATTATTCTCTTTATAAATCATGCATTTAGCATGTTTTTTTTAAATATAGCATAATTCAATTTTATTGATTTTTTTTTACATTTTACACAATTTTAGCATCAAAACATATATTCATATATCTATAGGACATTTTTTTTAAGGAATAAGTTAATTTGGGATTATTTAAATCAGGCCAAGTTGATAGAAATAATGACTCAAATTGATAGTAAGCATTATGTACAATCAAACTTCACTCTTTTCGAAGTGTAAGTTTTCTTATGTGACCCACTAGAGATATAGATGACTAGCAATTCAAATGCTCAGTGTGTTGCTTCATTTCATCAGCCCATGTACAGAACATTACAAATGAAAAATTTAAATCAATCAAATTAACTATTGCGATAAGTCAATTTAGCTAAATTAAAGACCAACAAAATATAAGAATTAAATGCAATTAGCGTTGGACCAATCAAATTAGGAAAAAAGCCAAATTATTTTCTCCAATCAATCCTAGAATTTTCTCGTCATCAACTTTGTCATTACAATCAAATCCTCTTTTCGGGTGTATCCCATCTTGCTTTCCCACTTCTTTTATCTCATAGAATTTCAAGTTTTGTTATTAGTTAGGCAAGCTTAGTAGGGAGCCACTACAAGTACTCGACTTGTTCTCTTTTTTAATTTAATTTACAATTTCTATTAAATCTTCTAGTTTTATATTGTTTGGTTTGTTTTATTCATCTCGTGCTTGGTTTAATTTCTACTATCTACTTGTTTAATAGTTTTATTTAATTCCAAGTACTCGATTTGCTTAATTCTTATTTTCAATTTGTTTATTTTTTGCTTTCCATCACAATTTTACTTTATTCACTCACAATTTTCCGAAATTCACTCATCCCAAATTTCAAATCCATTTGTTTTTCATTGTTCGGTTAGCATATGCAGTTCTTCTAATCCAATTTGTTTTAATCGACTTCCAATTACATTTATGGCCTTGATTTTCTTATTATTGCTTAGTTTCACATGCATCCAATTTTCGTAATCATTGGAAAATTTTAATTTAATTGATATTGCACTCTTTTATTTCAATTAAAAGCAAATTTTTATATTTCACTCTTTTTCGGCAAGTTTTGAATTTAATTAAAAACTAATTTTTTTATATAAATTCTAGCTATTTAAATTTTTGTTATTATGCTTGAATTTAAGTTAAATTTTTCGTTATTTTACTCCAGTTTATTTATCACTCTTTTATTTCATTATTATTAATCCTTTATTTACTCGTTTTAGGGAAAATGATGTTTGGTAATGAGTACATTCTTAGAATTGTGTTATTATGAAATTTGACAATCATTAGTTATATTGCATTAGTTTAGTAACTTGTTAAATTTTGCTCAATATTTTGTGCAACTAGAATGTTGTCGTCAAATGGTGTCGTTACCGAGAAGACGATTGTGTTACGTTACATTATCTAATATTATTGTTTTTCTAGTTTTTTTTAATTGTGTTCCTTAACCATTCTTGCATGAAATTTTGGATATAGGTTTGTAGAGTGAAAGTGCATGTCTAAGAGTATTCTGACAAGGAAAAATTTTGTATTTAAGCGTGTCCATTAGTGACCTATCTCTCTTTCTTGAAAACCTACTTGTGTACTTGTTCATTATCTATCATTACTATTCCAGCAGGCAAGAGATTCTTCTAGGTACTTCTTGGTTATTAAATTTGTTGCATTGTGCATTGTCGCCGTCGTCAAAAGAGGTGGTCGGAGCGACACGATAGTTTTGTTTGACTCGCATTTTTAAAAGTGTGGTTCAATGCCTTTAGGTTGTCCGATAACCGGGTTGGACCTGTGGACGAGGTTTTCGAAAGGTTCGAGGAGTCGCCACCAATGTTTTTACCAAAAACATTGGAAAAGGAAAAAGAAGGTAGTGGTTTTTTTAAAGGAAAACCAACTTTGGTCATTACAACCAGAGTTAGGTAAGGGAATTAGTTACGTATAGGGAAGATATTAGCTTTGTAGACCTCAAATCTTGTCCGACTCTCCAATAAAGCCAGAGATCGACTGTTTCGAAGATGGTCAAGACTTTATTAAGTCCCTAATAGCTTTTTCTAGGTTCCATTTAAGATAGGGAAGGTTTTTAGAGGCAATAAAAATCGGGAAATCCACCGAAGACAGCAGATGGCCGTTCATGGCAACTTTATGGCTATGGACGACCGTCCACTTAGCTTGGACGACCGTCTATGGCCAAAAGTTGCCATGGACGACCGTCCACACTACATGGACGACCGTCCATGGCCACTTTTTGCCATGGACGGTTGTCCACTAAGTCCAGACAGTCATCCACTTTTTCCTGGCCCAGTTCCGTATAAATAGGAGGTCCCATTCTCCGAATTTTCACACCTCTCTTAAATACTACAATTTTAATTGAGGAAACATTTGATTTTATTGTAATTAATTTCAAGCTTATTTTCTCTTGGTCCATCCCCTATAAATATAGGTTTGGTGAGAGTAGAAAAAACACAATCTCCTTCTTTAAGATGAGAACTGTGACATTTTTTATTATTATTATTTGTATAAGAGTAGCAGATAAAAAAATATACATATATATAAAAGTAATTTACATCACTATATATAAGATATACAAAAGAAGAAGGAATTTTATTTTTGATTCCCTCTATTTTTTTCTACAATTTTACAAGTATCTACATTGTCTGGTGGAAACAAATTGATTAAGGGGTTTTGAAAAAAGGTAGGAGACATACAAAAGGTAAACACTACTGGCCCATCTAACATAATGAGATTTCCCATATCAGATACAAATGTTATTATTGAAAATCTTGTCCCTCTAAAAGTAACCGAGTTGTCTATAACATTCGTGTTCCAAGTAGTTCCTGAAAAGAAGGTAGTGATGCTTGCAAAAAAGGGATTTGGAATATTTGGCGCCTCCATCTACTTAAGTTGGTGTTTAAATAAAACATGCGCAAAAGATCACAATAAGGAGTGAGAACATTTATCATTTACAATAATACAATCTTATAATATATAAATATATATGTTTCAACTTCCTCAACCCATTCTATTTTATGAAGATTAAAATTAAATTTGTAGTGACTAGTCGGGATAAATGAGCCTAATTTTAACCACTCTCACAAGTGATATTTTACTCATTTAAATCCCCAAGGTCCAACCTCCATCTACAATATCATCAAATATTCACAAATAGATATTATTATAATTAAATAATATAACTATATATTAATAAATAGGATCGTCTGCATTACTAGAGATAAAATAAAGTAAACAAGCAGGACCAGTACATAACTAGAGATA